ACCTTGCTTCCACCCTGCTACGTACAACAGAGTTTTATTTTATTTCTTATTTTTTCAAAACACTAAAAACACGTTTGGCAGAGACACAGACCAAATTCTCTACCTCAATATAATGGTTTGTTTGTGCCTACATCCATCGAGCAATAATACATATACAGTTCAATGACAAAATTTCACGACACGTTTTTAGTTTGATGAAATAATAATATGTGCGTGCGTGTGTATATATTCTTATTATTCATAAAACGTATAGTGTTCAAAAGAAATAAAAGTAATAAGATGAATATAAATTTAAACAATCAGATTTGAAGTCTTTTTCTTCTGAATTTATAAAAGAATCATTTGAATCCTTTTATGTATATATGATTGGCTTGACAGAAAAGATAAGGACTAGTTAACCGACTCAAGTTAATTAAGTTGGCAGTTTCCTTCCATAAGCATAATAAGAAAATATGTGAAATGCATAATAATAAACATTTCATAACAAATCAGAATAATGCAAAAAAAAAAAAAAATCAGCACTAATCTCATACAAACACACAGCAGGCTAGAAGCTCAATCATCGTGTTCCATGCTTCGTGAAAACCCTAATCATGATGACGCGCGCGATGGATGATTCATGCAATATGTCTAATTTTAATCGGGGGAAACTTTGTCCATCAACTTTTTTTTTTTTTGAAAATATAAAACTATAATAATTTGAGAGAACATCTTTAAATAAAAGAACAATGTGATCTTATCTTATGAAGAAAAAGTATGATGACATGCGAATGTTTGGGAGTTATCATCCAAGCTGATTGTAGTTAGAGTTCAAGATGATGACTTGTAGGCGCCCACCCAAAATCCATAAGACCAAGATATTCAGCAGCCACAAATCCCAAAACCACATGCTCCTTCCTCCTTTTTTTTTTTTGGGATATACTAAAATGAATATAAATACGCTAAAGTTCGCTCCTTCCTCTTTTACACATAAGATACTTAATTAACTAATTTACAAAAATATAAAAAAGTGATTAAGTTGATTTTTTTTTTTGACCAGCGATTAAGTTGATTTTGTACAGTAGCAAATAAAGGAGACAAGGAGAATTGAAGTCTTCTGCTCAGAACTAAAACAAATTATTTAAATCTTATGTTTAGGATTGGAGCGAGTACAACAAGATATGTGCGATAATGGTTGCTTTGCTTGTTTGAGGATGAGATCAGCAGCGGATCACCACCCACCCTTCCTTTTGAATTTGTGAACGTGTCACTGATATAGTATAACCCATCAATTTATTTATTCGTTACTTGAGGAAATGGAAATCCATTCAAGCTTTGGATAAAAACGATAAAAATCTGAATCACATGTGGGTCCTACAAATTCAAAGTCAAAAGTGGCACATTCAATTCATGCGACCTTGTCCCACAACTCAGAATGATCAACTTTCTTTCTACCTCATCTGTTGTTAGGTCCAACAGAATGAAACAGCCTTTGTTTGTTGTAATTGAAGTTTCACATTCCTTTTTACAAAGGTAATTCCCCACTGATGTTTCTGACCTCGGGGGTCACATCGCACTTCCTTCCCAAATCGATTAAAATTAATAAATTAAAAAACTAATTAAATATATTAAAATGATTCAGTATTATGTATAATTACATAAAATGGGGTGACAAAACTGAAAAGCACGAATTATTATTATGAGTGATAAGTGATGATGGCTAAGAAAGATGAATTAAATTAAAATGGGTTTTAACTTTTAATTATGGATCAAATGTGGCAGCGAATGTTTTACAAGGATGTTAGTTAGGAGAGGTGCGTCAGAACCAACAACTATGTATGCATGTGACATTGACAATGGAACTTGTTGGAAAAACCTGTCCCAAGTCATCCGATGACTTTTTTGGACAAAAATTTGGAGACCCGTTGCAAAATCTGCTACTATTTTAATATAGAAAATGAATGGTCCAAATTCTTGAAAAGATGCACCAACCATTTGAATGCCTAGCGGAACGATACATAACAAACTGTCCTTCTTAATTTGTCTTGGAAAAATTACAATTAGGACCCCATAAAATTATTGAAATTATAAGTAAGGATTTTGAATTATTAAAATTTTAATAATGAACTACATGAAATTAAAAATATATATGAGTTTACAAAACTATCTTCAAGTAAACATAGAAAATGACTAATCAACTTTTATCTAGAAAATTAAGTATTATTATGAATTAAGACAATTGCTAATATTAGTTAGGAAAATCAAAATCCATACTTGGGAATGAAATTAACAATAGTCCCAACTTATAATAGTAATTTCAGTAGTTTCAACCTGTAATATTTGTGATCCTGGTTTTCTCAATTGGGATTGATAATAGTCTTAACCTATAGTGGTAATTTTACCAATGTATCTTTTCTTGATTTTCAAGTAGTTTATCTATATATTAACAAGTATAAAAATTTACAAGTGATTAGTTTCATATTTAAAAGTGCTTTTGGTAAGTTTTTAAGTGACTATCTCATATTCACAAGTGTTTTTCAAAAGTTTCACAAGTGAATTTTAGTTTTATATTGGAAAACAATCTATTTTCAAGTGTGGATCCTGATTTTTTTAACTATGATTAACAATAGTCCCATCTTATAATAGTAATTTTAGTATTGTCTTTTTTTGATTTTTCAAGTGAGACTTGAGGGCAATTTTGTAAACTCATATATATTTTTAATTTCAAGTAAGGACCAAAGTCAATTATTAGGATTTTAATGATTTAGGGTCTCTAATTATAATTGATAGTCTTGTGAGGTTCTTAATTGTCATCTCCCCATTTGTCTTCTAATAATCAAATTTGATTCTCTGATTTCACTTTTCATTTGTCTCAGCCCCTCATTTATTTTAGCAAAAAAAATATAAAATAAAATAAAAATATAAGATCATATTTTTATTTGAAAAAACATCTATATGAATGTTCACTGTAAAAGTCATGTAGATGACATGATGCACTACTGGTTGTTCTCAGCAGCATGTAGTTCTCATAAAATGTTTTAGGACTGGACTGTGTATACTTCGATTGAGTTAAGATAATCGTTAATTTTAATTAGGAAAATCAGAATTCATATTTGTGAATGAAATTAACAATAGTCCCAACCTATAATAGTAATTTAAGTAGTTTCAACCTGTAATACTTGGGATCTTGGTTTTCTCAATTGAGATTGACAATAGTTTTAACCCATGGTGGTAATTTTACCAATGTATCTTTTCTTGATTTTCAAGTAGTTTATCTATATATTAATAAGTATAAAAATTTACAAGTGATTAGTTTCATATTAAAAAGTGCTTTTGGTAAGTTTCCAAGTGACTATCACATATTCATAAGTGTTTTTTAAAAGTTTCACAAGTGAATTTTAGTTTCATATTAGAAAACAATCTATTTTCAAGTGTGGATCCTGATTTTTCTAACTATGATTAACAATAGTCCCATCTCATAATAATAATTTTAATATTATCTTTTTTTTTGATTTTTCAAGTGAGACTTGAGGGTAATTTTGTAAATTTATATATATTTTTAATTTCAAGCAAGGACCACAGTCAATTATTAGGATTTTAATGATTCAGAATCCTTAATTATAATTAATAGTCTCATGAGGTTCTTAATTTTCATTTCCCCATTTGTCTTCTAATAATCAAATTTGATTCTTTTCACTTTTCATTTGTCTCAGCCCCTCATTTATTTTAGCAAAAAAAAAAATCCAAAATAAAATAAAAATATAAGATCATATTTTTATTTGAAAAAACATCTATATGAATGTTCACTGTAAAAGTCATGCAGATGACGTGATGTACTACTGGTTGTTCTCAGCAGCATGTAGTTCTCATAAAATGTTCTAGGGCTGGACTGTGTATGCTTCTATTATATATGTAATTGAAACATTTTGACTTTGCATATCTCTATCATTTATACGTAGGGTTCCTCAATACTCAAGGTTGATGTAAACTGTGAATTTACGCACTTGAACTGAGAAATATGATATGGCCTGCTCAACTGCATCTTTGGAATCGAGTACGAGAATTATTTTGTTTAGAGAGTATTTGGTGGGGCATGCCCTTTTTTTCCTGCAATAACGCCAACCATGAAAAAAATTCTCCAACTTGCACTCACTACAACACTCTGAGGCTTGGCTTCGTTTGCCTCAGGTGGAATCACTTCAATTTCAGTACTTTTTTAATTTTTGCGTCTGGCCATCGCTGCAATTATTAAAAAAATGGGAATTCAAGAAGTATCTGTTTGATATCTTCAATTATTGCCGCTTTTAGTTATTCTCGGAATTTTATATACTAAAGAAATCTAACCACTTTGATCTGTTAGGTATCTAATTAAACAAACTAAAATGGTTTTGGGAAAGCAGAATGACGACTTGCTATGGCTCTTGACTTGTTGCTGATAGTAATAAGAACAGCAAGAAAGTGACATGCCATTTTTAACCATCTGGGATACAGTCGAGATGTTTATTAGCAAGCAGTGAATATTTAAATGCTGTATTTAACAGAAGCTGATATCAGTACCGATGGTTCCTTCAACTCTTGAAATTATAAGTGGCAAATTGTCTGGGATTTAAAGGAAGGAGCGAGAAAAAGGACAAAGATTCATGGTGGTGTATACAGAACTAGATACTGTGGAATGAGTTCATGAGGCATGAGGATTGTATCATAGTAAGAAGCCATTAAGCATGCTGGAATTTAGTGAGTTAAGAAGATGTTTATCACAGCATGATCAGGAATTCAAGGCAGGAGACATTAGTGTCTTCTTCTTGTCCAGTCCAACGCAAGATATCAATAAAACGAAGGATGGATTAAAGGAGATGTACTTCTGTATGGCATCACAGAAAATGAGAGACTGGTGGATCCACAGAAATAAGTGTAGGTGTTATCAGGTTATAAGGCAGGCTGTTTTTTTTTTTTTTTTTTTTCATAAGTCACCACGGTAATACCAGTGGAATTGTCAACACATAGATTTGGGGATGGAAAGATGCAAAAGGTCTGAGCATATATATTTATTGATGGATAGAAAACACGATCCAATTACAAAGGTAAAGCCTTTAGAATAATTCTCATAGTCAAAGGTAAAGCCTTAGTATAGTAATGGTTCAAATTAAGGCCATTTTTATATAAAGAGGATTGATTTGGAAAGTGGTGGTCACAAGGCAGTAATTATTAGAGTCTGATCAGCCCATGGCATACTTCTGGGTCCATCCTCTAGCAGTGGACTCATATTTCTGTTTGTCAGACTTGCACATATGAGCAATCTCTGGAACAAGCGGGTCATCAGGGTTTGGATCCGTTAGCAGTGAACAAATTGACAGCAAAACCTGTCATAAATATACATATAAACATATTAGACACAATTTTTAAAGTGAAAAATAGTAAAGTTACTCCTGAATTCTGACATAGGGAATATAATGTCTCCCTGAGAGATCCAAAACTTGACCTTGGATATGGTGAGGGCAGGGCTCCATTGTTCTTTGAGAATGTCCAGACAAATATTTCCATTACTGTTTATATTGGGATGGAATACCTTGGTCCTGAATGCCACCTGTCAACAGCTCTTTTAAGATCAGCTTTCTGGCCCTTGCTAAAAACATTGGCAAGAAATTCAAAAATTGAAGGCAAATTATGAAGAATCAATATTTTAAAACCAAAAACTGTATCATGTTACACACAACTTCAAGATGCGTTCAAATTGTGCTTCTCAGAAGACAAACATGAGTTTGTAAAGCGATGAACAAGAGGATAATATATAGGTAAAAATAAAGGCAAAAATGATTGAGGACTTATACTAGTGATAAATAATTTTTTGAATATCTTTGATATTTGTCAAAGTCACTAAGTCATTTCTAGGAGTAATAGACAGATCTGCCAAACGTTACGATAGTATTTCCTCCAGAGATAATAACAAATATAAAACATCATTGTAAAATAAAAAAAAAAAAAAGTTTAAGAAATATGAGAGTCAACTACAGGAAGTATGAAAGATAACTCATTTTTATAATCTTTGAAACGAATTTTGATTTTTGAAGTCCTTACCTGTCATTAATATAAGTTGAGAGAAAGCAAATAATTGAAAGAGCAAGTGCAAACCTTGGGAGGCTTGAAAGGATAATCAGGAGGAAAATGAATAGTAACAAGGAAAACACCGCCAGCATAGGGACTGTCATTAGGACCAATGATGGTTGCTTGCCAATGGAACATATCTTCTCCCACAGGACCTGTTTGGCACCAGCACAACCATATCGCAACACGTCAAAGTGAACCCGTGCAAGATTGTCCGGAATGCAGACTTAAGGGGACAATGAAAGAAAACAAGAAAAACCAGTTAAAGTTGGTTTCAGCTACCGTACCTGCACTGCATGATGTTGGGGGGTCTCTTTGTAAGTCCTTGAGCTCCTTCAGAATTCTCTTGGACGCCATTAACGTAGTTGAGGAATGCAAACCAAGTGAGAATTATAGTAAGCTAGAAAACAAGAGGCAGCTCTGTATATTTAATGGAGGAAATGGGTGGGTGGTTTCGAGGGAGATGTTGAACGGACTCAAGAATTCCATTTGTCCATTGTTGACTCATGAAAGTGGGCACAGTATATATTCCTCAACAAATGGAGGAAGATAAGATATCAAGAATCTATCGCCTTTCACAAATGATGGGAATTTGAAAGTTGTTTCCCATTTCACTCGGCGTTCAAGTTTTCCAAAGCACAAAGCCCTTTTTTGTTCCCACTTCTAATTCAAATCATTAGACATTATACACCACTAGAATACCACCATCACCACTCCTTACTTATTTGCTCAACTGACCATTTGATTGAATTAACATAATTAAGTAGTTACAAAATCTGGAATCATCGTTGATGCTGAAAACACCATATCCTACTCAGATCCTTTTTTAAAATAATCAAGTTGAAAAGTAAATTTATAACGGGATTGATTTAACACTCCGAAGTGATTCATGTAAAATAGTAAAATCCAATTGCAGCATTGGACCATGTTGGCATAAAAACAACCGTAAAGGCGAGAGCTGCTTTCGAGCATCCTAGTAAGATCCTGTGAGGCGCACCTTCCAGTCTCTTTGTCCAATCAAATCTTTATATGTATGTATAAAAGTAGTAGTTAAAGTTACGCAAGTTTGAACATAGCGATTTAAAGATCTTTGCAATATCAGAAGTTCGAGCTCACTAGAAAAATAAATAAATAAATCACAAGTAGAGGAAAACATCCTCAATATCTCATGTGAGATATTAAGGAATCCTTAATATCTTACACCAGATATTAAGGATGAATTTATCTTTCTTTGTTGGCAAGTCAAGTTTATTTAAGAATCTTTCAGATATCACCAACTCAAAACAGGCAACGTTGAGAATCTAGTAAAGTTGAAACATCATGCCCCACTCCTTCGAAAAATGTCAAGGGCGATGTATATAAAGCTGCTGACAGCTCTCTAGTATACATTCGTGATAGTTCAAATTTTTCATTTCGAATACTGATTAAGGTTTTATTCAACCTGCGTTGCAGTTGTCAAACAACTTTTTTCAAGCTTCAAGTTTTCTTAGCTTTTTGTCATCTGAGAATTTCTGACCTTAGATAATTCAACCTAAGCTTTTGGTTAGAACACTGCAAATATATTTTATAGAATCAACACCAAAGAGAATAACTATAATCAGTCTGCTAAACAGCTCATGACCATAATTACATAATAGTTCAAATCCAAAGTCACGTCTATCGTATATTAGATTACAACATTAGAGTCATGCCCACAAAAGAAATAGCCATAAAATAATCAATACATTAGGGAAGCAACATACTTGTACGTAAAAAGTTGTGCATCCCAAATGTCTTGAAATCATGCCTATACAGATACACAAACAATAACTTGATGTTCTCGAGTCATGAATACAGTCAGTGTTGGAGCCACGGAGCAATTGCTTCCTATAGGTGGAAATAGTATATAGATATATAGATATATAGTATAGTGAAGAGTGAAGACTACCGGTAAATGGCTAGGGTCATGTCATCCTCCAAGAACTAGCATATCAAAAACAGAAGATCTCACAAAATAGAACAGGCCTTTTGCCCCTTTCTTTCCTTTTTCTTCTGCTTTGGGGGCTGGAGAACAACTTCGATGGCTGCATCGAAAACTGCCTTCACATTCTGTATTCACACAAGGGTTGATTGGCATCAATCAGTTTATGATATGCTTTTACTCTTCTAGATGCAAATAACATTTATTTACCATCTAAGTTTTTGAACTGCACTCAACGTAAACGGGAGCACCAATAAGTTTTCTTAGTTCCTCCCCCTTAAAAAAAAAGACAGAGAATCAGACCATTTATCAGTAAGTTTCAGTTTTGGCCTTTCACTTCAGTAAGTTAATATGATGATTGTGAAGAAAGGAAAAAAAAAAAAGGCCAATAGAAAAACAGAATGTATAAAAGCAGCAACAAATACCTGAGCCGTGGTTATGGGCACTGCACCTGGGTGGTTTAGAAGGAACTGCTTATCATCCCGAAGATCTGAAAGACAGATTTAGCTGCCATGATTCATCAAAGCAAACTAACTAACAATTGTCTAACAATGAATCCATCAACTACATAATTTTAGCCCTATATCTAGGAGGCAACTCATTCCTAAAGCAGCTATCTGAAATTATTGACAAAAAAATCGCACTGTAAACAAAATGGAAATTCAGATAATTCATGAATTCAAGAACTTCTGTCAAACACTATCCTAGACCAACGCGCTGAGTTGTGTTATAGGCAGCTACGATTTGTTCCATCTTAATTATCTATGATACTTCAAACATCAAGACTTCTGAAGACTTAAATTCTGTTTACTGAAAAGTAGAAAGGCAATTAAGTTGAAGATGAACCAAGACACTTTCTTGACTCAAATAAAAACATTTGAAGACAAGGCCAATTACTATGCTGCTAGCTATCAACCATTTTTGGTTTAAAAAAAAAAAAAATCAACCATTTATCTTTTAGGCATAAGATAACCTTGGAAGATTGGATAACATTCCCCTTTCCATCTCTACTAAATCAAAAACTTTCTCATTATCATGCAGTTAATGAGAATACCTATCCCCAATAAGCAAAATAAAGAAAAGCACCTATATAGACCAGCATAAAATAAAAATGCTTAAGGTCAAAAAGATAAACACAAGTTCGTAGCAAGGAACTAAATTAGCTGGGGAAAACAGCCGAGAACTTTGGTTCAGTAGTCCTGACTTCATTGTTCTCTCAGCTATATTCTAATACTCAGATGCTATATTGGTAGGTTAGAAAAATACGCTAAGACGGAAAGTTAGCAGTTAAAAAATAATGACATTCTATTAAAGGATTCCTCTAGGTCATAACTTGATGCTTATGAATTATGAGTACGCCCTGGTTTTTCCTGGGCCAGTTAATACTTCTAATAACATACGCAATGCAAGTAAAGGTAATGAAGGAAGAAGATTCTAACCAAGTTTTGTCCCAACTAAAATAATTGGGACACCAGGTGCAAAGTGCCTCAACTCCGGAACCCACTGGAGAAAGAGAGAAGAACCATTAGTACTGAAAAGGAAGGGACAAAACAAATATGAATGAATAAAACTGATCTTACTTTCTTGGCAACATTTTCATAGCTTGCTTTGCTCATAAGAGAGAATGCTAGCAGAACTACATCTGCTTCAGGATAGCTTAAAGGTCTCAATTTATCGTAATCTTCTTGGCCTGTTTCATATCTTAAAAAAAATCAGAATGCTGATAGGACTCTTCAAAAGTAAAAGAAAAATGAGATACAATCGCTAAAAAAAGTTACCAGCAGTATCCCACAACCCCAGATTCACAGTGGTTCCATCCACAACCACAATCGCACTGAAATTGTCGAAGACAACTGGCACACAATCCTGTCACCAATGATTACAAATATATAAAGGATGTTTTGTGTTCCAAATTATCCTCATGCATTAACCAAAGGCAAGTCAAAGAGGACAAAGTGAATGGATTTTAAGATTATGGCATAAATGAAAATAAAGGAGTAAAGTTTTCATGTCATAAATCAAATTCCAATTCATTTTGTTGCCAGAGTTACAGGGCTTCCAGTTCTAAACATTGAGTGCAATGGAGTGAAAAAACTGGTCATACGACAACAATGAAAGAAAGAATCACACCTCAAACAATGATTGCATATAAAAAAAGGAGACATCTAAGAATGGAATTTATGTCAATATATCAATGAATGTAAAATATAAAGTTTATGGCAGTGCGACACATTTCCCAAAGCCCAAACTCAATGCAAGAAAAATCGTGTCAAGTTAGGGATCAAATTTCAACAATTATTTTTACCCTTTCCTCTTTCCACCCAACAAATCAATTACCGATCCAATTCAGCAATCGCCTTCACGAAGATCTTTTGATTAAAAGCAACCCGAAATTGCTTCCTTTGAACAAAGATTTGCATTAACAACTCTAAGTTGAAGGTTCAAGACAACAAGCCGAGGAGACACTACGAACACGAGAAAATAATGGAATAAAGAAAACCATAAGCAAGCCCATTTCTTTTTCTTCGGAAACAGCGAGCCTCATCCTCACAACTTCTCCAGTTCCACAAAACCCAGCAACGAAACAAGTTCAAACGTGAAGAATGTCAATCTTTCTTTATTTTTAATACGTTTACTTAGAGAACAAACCAATGCACTCACCGTAGGGAAAGTATTGTTGGTGTAGGAAATAAGCATGCAAGTCTTGCCAACGGCTCTGTCACCTACAGTGACACACTTTATAAACCTCGAGGCACTCATTGCCGTTCACTTCTTTGTTTGCATCCAAAACTTCTTTGGCCTAATTTTAGCTTCTCCAGCAGAAAATCCCAATTCACACGACAGTCGTGTTGATCACTTTCAGAACTTTGTTGGCAAAGCAGAGGACTGAAAGCCAAAGAAAGGAGAGAACGGAAAGGCGTGAAATATCAAGATGAAGTAAAAGAGAGGAAAATTGAACTTTTGGGTATTGGGGGCTGGGCCTGGAGAGCCAGCTATTGCCAGCTATAGTTTACGATGCAAAGCTACCTCGATACCACAATCTCGCGCCCTAATTCCACCATTTCACTTGTACCCACCAACCGCTCTCATTTTCAAGTTTCACTCTTCCCACTTTTTATGAAAGTAAGTTAGTAAATGTTCTTAAAAGAAAAATATGTTTGTACGTACAAGACTTGCCTATGCAGGCAATTGCAGTTAAAAATAGTTGAAAGCTAGAAAACAAGAGGCAACTCTGCATATTTAATGGAGGAAATGGGTGGGTGGCTTCGAGGGAGATGTTGAACGGACTCAAGAGTTCCATTTGTCCATTGTTGACTCATGAAAGTGGGCACAGTATATATTCCTCAACAAATGGAGGAAGATAAGATATCAAGAATCTATCGCCTTTCACAAATGATGGGAATTTGAAAGTTGTTTCCCATTTCACTCCGCTTTCAAGTTTTCCAAAGCCCAAAGCCTTTTTTTGTTCCCACTTCTAATTCAAATCATTAGACATTATACACCACTCGAATACCACCGTCACCACCCCTTACTTATTTGCTCAACTGACCATTTGATTGAATTAACATAATTAAGTAGTTACAAAATCTGGAATCATCGTTGATGCTGAAAACACCATATCCTACTCAGATCCTTTTTTAAAATAATCAAGTTGAAAAGTAAATTTATAACGGGATTGATTTAACACTCCGAAGTGATTCATGTAAAATAGTAAAATCCAATTGCAGCATGGGACCATGTTGGCATAAAAACAACCGTAAAGGCGAGAGCTGCTTTTGAGCATCCTAGTAAGATCCTGTGAGGCGCACCTTCCAGTCTCTTTGTCCAATCAAATCTTTATATGTATGTATAAAAGTAGTAGTTAAAGTTACATAAGTTTGAACATAGCGATTTAAAGATCTTTGCAATATTAGAAGTTCGAGCTCACTAGAAAAATAAATAAATAAATCACAAGTAGAGGAAAACATCCTTAATATCTCATGTGAGATATTAAGGAATCCTTAATATCTTACACCAGATATTAAGGATGAATTTATCTTTCTTTGTTGGCAAGTCAAGTTTATTTAAGAATCTTTCAGATATCACCAACTCAAAACAGGTAACGTTGAGAATCTAGTAAAGTTGAAGAAACATCATGCCCCATTCCTTCAAAAAATGTCAAGGGCGATGTATATAAAGCTGCTAACAGCTCTCTAGTATACATTCTCGATAGTTCAGATTTCTCATTTCAAATACTAGTTAAGGTTTTATTCAACCCGCGTTGCACTTGTCAAACAACTTGTTTCAAGCTTCAAGTTTTCTCAGCTTTTTGTCATCTGAGAATTTCTGATGTTAGATAATTCAACCTAAGCTTTTGGTTAGAACATTGCAAATATATTTTATAGAATCAACACCAAAGAGAATAACTACAATCAGTCATATAATATTTTTAAAAAGAAAATTAGTCATATAATAAACTAACTCAACAAAATTTAGAAATAAATTAACCACCGTTCCATGACATGTGGCGATAAATTAAGGTGAGGGGTAGAGTAGTTCCATATTGAAATTAAGATATTTTTAATTTTTTAAGGGAAAAGTTTTGTTAAGTTGTCTTGCAGACATTTGCTTAGTCAATTTTGATGAACATAGGTAGGACCCAATGTGGTGCCAATCTCCTGACGGCTCAATATTGTCAATGATAAATTGCTCGACCCTAACTTCTTCATCACCCTCCTCATTAAAAATTGTTGAAATTGTGGAGATTACATTAACAAATGGCTAAAATCATGGAGATGATTAAAATACAATTTTGGAAAAGCTGTGGTTACAACTTAAAAAATCTGAAACCAATGAAATGTGTATGAAAAGGGAAGAGAGGCATGCTTGATGGAAGAAAGTCAGCGCATGGAGGATGGTGATAATGTAATTTGTATGAAAGTGATATGTGACAAAGAAATGAATGCTTCTCATTACAGTTATGTGACAACTGCAAAAACACTGGACCACTATTTGCCTTAATGGCAAAGCCAAACTTACGCAAAAATCTATTTAATTTTTATGGTTGCAGAATTGGCTTTTTCAATTGTGTAAGTATATTAAAAGGATAAGTCCTACATTATTCATATGAGAAGAGCTCCTAATATATATATATATATATATATATAAAGAAATGAAAGTAAGTTAGTAAATGGGCTTAAAAGAAAAATATGTTTGTACCTATAAAACTTGCCTATGTAAGCCAATTGTAGTTAAAAATAGTTGATTTGTGCCCTGCATGCATGTGAGAGTTAGAGAGGTTTAGTTCTTTTTATTGCAATTATTTTTGCAAAAATAAGTATTAATTTATTTCAAAATTGGTTATCTTAAAATATTGGTGTTTGACTAATTGAATTTTAAATTTGAAGAGTTTTAGAAACGATGGTTAGCTCAATTGTCTTTAAATGAGTTTAATTTCTCTTTAACCATTAAATGGTTTTTATTTTGCCAACATTCAATAGCCAAGGCTTTATAGGGTTTGATTTTTTGAAACAGGTGAATTAGCATGAGCAAATGGCTGCCCAACATTCATCTGGGTCTATGCCTCTATATATCGAAGTGTATGGCATTCACAGTATCTAGTTCTTGAGCTTTTGAGTCAGTTCTTTCCTCCTCCTCTATGCTGTTATGATTGCCTACGTGTATTATTATGCTAGTTTCTATTGTTTTATATCCCTGTTAATTTTTGCAGGATGAGTTTGTTTAATATTAGGGAGCTGCTATAGGATCAATATAGTATGACAAAATAGCTCTTAAAGACAGTGTCCTTAGCATGACTTAGATTTAAAATCTACCCACTAATAGCAACAATCTTAAGAGCTATTATGGCATCGAACATTGACAATGTCGTTCCCCAAGGCGATGCTAATGGTTCTAGTGGAGGAGATGCATTTATCGTTGCTTTGTTCCTTTTTCAAAATCATTCCTAGACATCTCTAAGTTAGAGATGGTCGATGTTAAAAATTTCAAACATTAGCAAGAATGAATTTTCACAAGCTTGATTTGCATGATATAACTACTGTTCTTACTTAAGCCAAACCCTCTGTTGATGCTAACCAAGCTCATTGAAATGATTGGACACATGCAAACAAGGCATGCCACTACACTATCATTAGCAATTTATTTAATGATTAGTTTGATATCTACTGTGTCTATAAGAAAGCTAGTAAAATATGGGAGTTGCTAGTGACAAAGTATACTATTAAGGATGCTAGCAAGCAAAAATTTATGATTGGAAATTTTTATATATGGGAGATGACCGAGGACAAAGATGTGAAGGAGTAGAAAAACAAATATCACAACCTATTATAGGAGCTTCATGTTGAGAACATCAATTCACTAGATGAGTTTGTTGCTGGGATCCTTATTAAAAAAATACTAGAATCATGGAACAACTACAAGTAAGAGTAGTTGTCTTTAACTGACCTGATACTCATATGATTATTGAAGACACCAATCGAAAGGCTATTCATTCAATTAGAAGCAAACAGATGACATCCAAAGTTAATCTAGTAAAGATAAAGCCTATCAACAAGAGGTGTGGCTCTAAAAATAAAGATAAGAAAAGGAATAAAAAATCTAATTCTTCTAACCCCTCTTGCAAGAAAAAAAGGAGATTGTTTTGTTTGTTGAAAGACAAGTCATTGTGCAACCCAATACAAAAAGAAAGGGAATCATGATAATCCTCTTACGCTTAATGCGAATTTGGTTCTATGAGATGATAACATTAATAATGACATCATTGTTATAGTAGTGTCTCAAGCTTTCTTAATTTCTAAAGAAATGGGTGGTCGACTTTTAGGCCACCAAGCATATATATGCTAATCAGGAGATGTTTACCTCCTATGATCTTGTAAAGGAAGGAGAAGACTTTGTTTACCTTGTTAATTCCTGAACTATCAAAGTTTAAGGGAAAGGAAAAGTGGTCCAAAAGCTCACATCTAGAAAGACTTTGGCTTTGAACGATGTTTTGCATATACATGAAGTTAGAGCAAACTTGATTTCAGTGGCTCTATTGGAAAAGGTTAGGGTTAAAGTCTCATTTGAATATGATAAGATTATAATGATAAAGAATAACGTGTTTATGGGAAAAGAGTATTGTAATCAAGGACTATTTATCTTAAATATTGATAAAATGAATAATAATGCATCTTATAAGTATATGCATGTCTTTATGATTGATTCTTTTTTTCTTGTGACATGCTAGATTAGGTCATGTTAATAAAGTTTATATAAAAAGAATGTGAAGACTTGGCCTAATTTCTAAAATTAGAAATGATGTTTTTAGCAAATGTAAAGTGTGTGTAGAAACTAAACAAAGTTAAAAAGAAAACCTCAATTTTTCTGTTCAAAGAGAAACGAAGGTGTTCTCCTTAGTACACATTAATTTGGGTGATTTGAAACAAACCATGGCCAGAGAGAGTAAAAGATATTACATTACTTTTATTGATAATTTTTCAAGATATACTAAAATGTAAGCATTAAGAAATAAAGACAAGGCTTTTGAATTTTTTTTGGGCATAAGGCAAAAGTTGAAAATCAGTTAAATAAAAAGATTAAGAGAGTTAAGTCAGATAGAGGAGGAGAATTTATTTTATTAAATATTTTTTGTGAAAAAGAAGGAATTATTCATGAGGTGACTCCTCCATATTCACCAAAATCCAATGGTGTTGTAAAAAGGACAAATAGAACTTTAAAAGAAATGATAAATGCTTTGCTTATGAGTTCTTCTATACTTGATAATTTGTAAGGTGAAGCAATTTTATCTGCTTGTTTTTTACAAATTAGGATGCCTTATAGGAAAATAAGGAAGACACCTTGTGAATTATAGAAAGATTTTATTGCTTGATTCTAAAAAAAAAAGGAAGTTTAGTTCTAAAACTTCTACTTACATGTTTATTGGTTATGCTAAATAAAGTGTCAGTTTATCATTTTTTTAGTTTTAAAAAGTGATGTTTTAGATTAAAACATGATTGTTGAGACAAAAGATGTTCAATGTTTTGAGTATATTTTTCTATTGCAAATTGAATGTGTCCCTAAAGTAATTGGAAGTTCTTCTTTTGAACAAAATTCACATTTGGTTTTAAGGACAAGTAAAAAAAAAGAGAAGAAACAAATGTGGGGATGATTGTTATACTTATTTGGTGCACAATGAACCATTGAACTTTTATGAAACTATTTGTTCTCTCAATATTCATGTTTAGAAAGAAGCAATTGATATTAAATTGATTCCTTAAGGAAAAAGTAAACTTAAGTTTTGGCATATTCGCCTTAAGAAGCAAAAGCTATTGGATGTAAATGAATTTTTAAGAAAAAAAATTCTAGATGGTTTGATTAATAAATACAAAGCAAGGCTTGTGGCCAAAAGTTTTACACAAAAGAAAAATATTAATTATTTTGATACATTTTCTCTTGTGATAAAAATTTCTTTCATAAGAATATTTATTGCTTTGTCTTTGATTTACAAGCTCTTTGTTCACTAAATGAATGTTAAAACAACATTTTTTAAAGGTGATTTAGAAAAAAAAATTTATATGGTATAGCTTAAGAGATGTGTGGTTCTTGAGTAAGAAAATAAAATTTATAAACTTGTCAAATCTTTGTATAGATTAAAACCAGCGCCTAAATAATGGATGAAAAACTTGATCAAGTTTTGACAAGTGGTAGTTTTTCTACTATTGAAATAGAAAGATGTGTTTATACAAAACTTATA